TACCCCTCCCTCCCCCTCCTTTAATCGTGTATAATTCCCCCGGCCTGTAAGCCCCCCCCCCGACCTTACAGGCGGGAAACCATGTAGAGTTGCGGGTTGTACTGTTGCCTGTCCCAGCACTCCCCTAGATCCGGTCATATCTTAAAGGAGAAAAACCAGTGGCCATGGTGCACCCCTAAGCAGCAGTGCACCCTGTATCAGAGTGTCCCCACTCTGGATGAAGGAGCACAGGGAGCACCTTTGGACAGCAGCATTGTCAGTCTGGGAGAGAGGAGCATTAGATGTATTAGCAGATTTAAATACACTAATAAACTGAAGCCAAACTCCAGCTCACACTTTATAGCCAATAATAAATAAATAAAAGCTGATCATTGTAAGCACCTCTGCCAGTGTTGAATGGTTTGTCTAATCCCTGTAACTGATACATCAAGAGAGCTTGTTCTTTTGAAAAAACAACAGACTTTCTGGCCAGATCACCAGATGAAAATATCAGAAAGAAACCCTAAAAAAGAAAACAAATGCAGGAATCACATCTAAGAATTGGTAAGCTGAAATATAATAAATGTTGGCGCTTGGGTTTATTACCACTTTAATTGTAGAACTTTTATTTTTTAGGCTCGCTAATCTCAGCTGGGTAAACCACACTGGGAGCAATAGTGCTCTCTTTCTAACTTCCAATTCAATAGTTGGGGAACAATACTACATGCACCGGAAAATATGCGTAAGTGTCCCCATGGGGTTGCCTAGATACATCAGTAAGCACAAGGCCAACTTAGATATAATACTTATTTACTAAAACTGGAGAGTGAAAAATCTGGTGCAGCTCTACATAGAAACCAATCAGCTTTCAGCTTGCCAAAGCTTAATTGAACAAGCAGAGGTTAGAAGCTGATTGGCCAACTATGTACAGCTGCACCAGATTCCGAGTGCTCCAGTTTTAGTAAATCTCCCCCTTAGTATGGTAAATGACATCATGCTATTTTATCGAATATGATAATATTGTTTTATTTAGCAGGTTTGGCATGCAGAAACATTTACATTTCAGGGTTCTTAATGAGAATATGTGGTAGCTGATGGCAAATAAGCAGACTACTTCAGAAAAGTGATTTTGCAAGGAAAGAATTATGTGAAAGAATGTGAAAGGTGAAGTTCCCTTTTAAAGATCAGGTTTTGTTTCCTCAAACCTGTTACATAAGTAGAACAGGCTATAAAATCCAGCGTTGCACATACAACCCCTGTAAAGCATTATATAGCCGCTTATAAAGAAAATTAGTGGAGGCCAAGCTTACCATAAAAGGCTTACTGGTCCACAGTCTTTAGATATCAAGTTGTTATGAATGTCGAAAATTTGAATAGATGGTCTGCTAAAATTCATAAAACAGTCCTGAATAAGGATCATGGGTTTTTCTGTTTAAACTTAAAAGCTGATGAAGCAGAAGGAATGTGGAACATGGCAAAAGAGTTATATTCCTGCCAGTCATTGCATAACAAAAATTACATGTCTTGCACGACCTTCCAATCTAAAAAAGACAAAGTGTAGCTTTGATTTTAAAAAGTGCACTGGTTCACTTAAAGAATGGCTTCACCCCATTCCCTTACCCCATCCATCTCCTGGTAGACCACTGTATTTTTTTTTTTTTACAGCAACCTTTTCAGAGGTCTTCAGGCCATTTATGCTTCTTTCTGTTTGGACCTCCCCCCGGGTATTGGTGGATGGTCCTCAAATTGGCACTGATGTTATTACATCAGTACTTCATTTTGCATTATTGTATGTAAATGTAGGTTGTGGTGGTGAGGCCTCCTTAGAAGATGGGTCCAGGACAGGATGTACTCTGTTTTCAGGGTTCAATGAGGCTGGTCATCATTTGCCTTGGAAGACTGAGGACATTTCGTGGCAAATTACTGCTGGGGACAGCATCAGATAGGAGGTGATTATTGCATGCAGAGCTGCTTTTTTTTGCTTTAAACCCTTGCTTGGGAACTGTTTAAAAATCTATAATATATTATACAGTATGTGTGTATAATATCTGTGCAGCGCTATACAATATTTTGTAACAATTATGTGAAAAGATAAAACCATAAAAACAAAAAACAAAAGTCCCAAAATATTTCTTCTTAAGCAATTCTTCTTCCTGTTACCACCAGGTGCAGCTAACACAAAATAGGTGCACTATTCCTCCACCCAATATCTGCTCACCTCCAGCAGTGTGACCTCACATCATATAATGTCTAACCACACTTTTGGTCCCAATATTTGGACTCTGAAGATGGTAACTCCAAATGGCTCACTCCAATAGACCCTTTTGATCAGCAGTAAACCAATTCTTAGATGTGATGGCTGCTTGATTTTTCTTTTTTAGGCTTTCTTTCTACTATTTTCACCTGGTGATCCTGCCAGTATGTCTGATCTTTTTAAACAGAACAAGCTATCCTGAAGCTGTTTTAGAGAATTGAGGCAAACCATTTACCAGTGACAGGGGTCTGGTAACCTGTCACTGGTAAATGGTGAATGGTTTGCCTCAACCCTTGCCTCAACTATTGGGACCAAAAGTGCAGTTAGACCAAACATTATATGATGTGAGGTCACACTGCTGGAGGTGAGCAGATATCGGGTGGAGGAATAGTGTACTTATTTTGTGTTAGCTGCACCTGGTGGTCATATGAAGAAGAATTGCTTAAGAAGAAATATTTTGGGACTTTTGTTTTTGTTGTTTTTGTTTTTATGTTTTTTTCTTTTCACATAATTGTTACAAAATATTGTTTTGTAGCACTGCACAGATATTATACACACATATAATATATTATAGATTTTGTATTATGTTTAGAAACAGTTGAATACTGTCCGTGATACTTTTTTTATTTTCACTAACATACAATTTTGAGGACAAGCTTTCAGGGAGTGTCCCCTTCTTCAAGGCCCAAGTGTACTGCTTGGACCGTGAAGAAAAGGACACTCCCCGAAAGCTTGTCCTCAAAATTGTATGTTAGTGCAAATAAAAAAAGCATCACGGACAGTACTCAATTGTTTCTGTCGCAAATGCACTAATATTCCGCTACAATCACCTCAAGTATTATGTTTAAAAATATAATTTTGATTTAAGTTCTTGCCCAATCTCTTTCTTATAAACTAATTTTTTGCTCTTTCACTATTCTGTCTGCCTGCAATGATGAAAAGAAAAAAAATAGAGTAAGATCCAACTTTTTTTTATAAATATATAATCCTTAACCAACAAAATTTGCAAACCATAGTTGAAAGACTCTAGCTTCTGAGTGGTGGTATTCAGAAAGAGTTCTTTTGTAAACACAGACATAAACTTGGCCAATCTGAGTAGGTGGCCTGTTTAAGGCTACTTTCACACTGATCCTACGCATAAAAAACACAGCAAAAATGCATAGGCGTTTTTACTGTGCTTTTGCTTTTGGGCTTTCTAAGCATTTTTAAAGGACACATGACTTAAAAGTGAACCAAAAAAGCTTCTCGGAAGTGTTTGTGAGGAATTTGTGAGGCGCTTTTCAGGCATTTCCCATTTATTTCAATGGGAAGAGGTGTTTTTGGGGCTTTTTTTAACTCCCTAAAGATGTTGCAAGCAGGAATTTTTACACCGCACCTCAAGCGCAACGCCTCAGTGTGAAAACATACATAGATATATATTCACATACATAGGGAAGCATTTTGAAAGTAGCCTAAACAGAAGCCGCTGTCTGCCTGCATACTGCCAGGTCTTATAGAATTAGCATTCTATTAAGATAACTTTTTCACTTTGCATTTTCTTTTTTTTTTTCTTTGGAATAGGGCTGTATTTGTTTTTTTTCCTACTGATACCTAGCATGAACCATAATATGTATTTTCTAAGATTTTTGTCTGTCATTAATGCAGATGCTCTTTATGGCTTTGCATGTTCTCTAAAGATTTATTCTATGTTTTACTTGGGATAGATATATTTCTGTTTTTCAGCTGTTGAGCAGAAATTACACATAAAGGTTCCAAAGAGAAACAAGTATAAGGAAAATAATGGATACCTGCATAACAATTCTTGGCCTTGTGGAGAGAAGGCATACTTTATTCTTCTGCAATGGACTCATTAACTCCTCACAAGGTGAAGCAGGTTTGCAAGAGACATCATTATGGATTAATGAAGGGAATCATGGTGTCACAAATCAACCCTCTAAATATGCGTGTGCCTCCTATAAAGAAACGGGCAAATTAAACTTTGTCATGATGTAAAGTTTTGCACAGCACCTGAATACATATTTCATTCTGTGGCATCAGGAAAGAAGAAGTTTGTCCGAAGGACACAGCGTACCGCCGATCACCACGCTGCGCGCTGCCCTGAGAAAGGGAGGACGTCATATGACGTCCTCCCAGAACGAGAGAACCATCTTGCGTCCGTCATATTACTATATGGCGGGCGAGAGGTGGTTAATATGTTTTGCCCAGTAGGGGCTTAATCCTATAGGCCTCTACAATCAAGCCCCAGCTGGGCAAAACATGTAAGAGAGATTCTCCCATGGGTAGGAGACCAAGCAGAAGACTTTTTTATACAAAGAGGAGTTCACTAAATATTGAGGCAATGTGTGGAACAGTGACTTTTTGTTGTAGCTCTCATTCTGTCTCATGAGGCAATATTCAACCCTACTAACACCTGCAAACATTGTGGCCAGTCGGCTGAGATAACAGATTGGGGCATTTGACCGATATCAATGCTATTTGGTTTTTGGTCTACTAAAGAAGTCTGTTTGATTGTTCTAGGTAACAGTCCCACATTTACCGTATTTTTCGCTCTATAAGACGCACCTGACCATAAGATGCACCTAGGTTTTAGAGGAGGAAAACAAGAAAAAAAATATTCTGAACCAATGCACTGCAGACATAGTACAGGAAATGACCAGAGACTGCGGATGTACTACAGGAGATGACCAGAGACTGCAGACATAGTACAGGAGATGACCAGAGACTGCGGACATAGTACAGGAGATGACCAGAGACTACGGACATAGTACAGGAGATGACTAGAGACTGCAGGCATAGTACAGGAGATGACCAGAGACTGCAGACATACTACAGGAGATGACCAGAGACTGCAGACATACTACAGGAGATGACCAGAGACTGCAGACATAGTACAGGAGATGACCAGAGACTGCAGACATAGTACAAGAGATGATCAGAGACTGCAGACATAGTACAGGAAATGACCAGAGACTGAGGACATACTACAAGAGATGACCCAAACTGCAGACATAGTACAGGAGATGACCAGAGACTGCGGACACAGTACAGGAGATGACCAGAGACTGCGGACATAGTACAGGAGATGACCAGAGACTGCGGATGTAGTACAGGAGATGACCAGAGACTGCGGAGGTAGTACAGGAGATGACCAGAGCCTGCGGACGTAGTACAGGAGATGACCAGAGACTGCGGACATAGTACAGGAGATGACCAGAGACTGCAGACATACTACAGGAGATGACCAGAGACTGCAGACCTTTGCGAAGCAGGCTGAAATTATCCTCCCTTCCTCCCCGTAGTTTTCTGAGACATGTGACAGGTCCCAGAAGTATACGGGGCCATTCAGGGCCGCTTTGAAGCCACAAGCTGTCACAGCTGGATGCCCACACTAAAGATGCTGGCGCCAGGGAGAGAAGACAGCCGGTGAAACCAGCGGTGGTGAGGACACCGCTGGACCGAGGAACAGGTAGGACGGAAGAGCAGGTTCTGCTCCACAGAGGAGCCGAGCGGCCGGCCTGGTATTCTAACATGGCGGCAGTGACGGGGGGGAATACCGGGCCGGCCACTCCATAAAACGCACGGTGTGTGGTACCACAAACCAAAAATGCTATATAATTCATGTTTAATATTCAAAACAAACTTCTCCATCAATCCATGTCTCCATGCTTTATTTTGTGAAGAAATCATTTTGAAAGACACCTCCTGGTGTTTCTGGCAGTGGCCATCTTGAGTAAGATAATTCACGTACCAGTTACTTCCTAGAATCCATCTATCCTTAACTCAGGTATTGGCTGAGCTGAGAACCCTCACCTTCTTAAGAATCCTGGGATGTGTGACATCATTTGCTAGGAAGTAAATGAAGAAATGCAAAAAAAAAAAGTTAAAATAAATATATATGATATACTTTTCTATCTATTTACTAATTCTAGCAGTATAAGGATAAGAAATAGTCCACGCTGATTGAGAGTGTGAAGTTCCACTTTAAAAACATTGTTTACGTAAAGGTTTTACATACAGTGCATCCAGAAAGTATTCACAGCGCTTAACTTTTGCCACATCTTGTTATGTTACAGCCTTATTCCAAAATGGATTAAATTAATTTTTGTTCTCAACATTCTACAAACAATACCCCATAATGGCAACGTGAAAGAAGTTAGTTTTAAAATCTTTGTTATTTTGTAATTTATTAAAAATAAAAAAATTTAAAAAAAAAACACATGTTACATAAGTATTTACAGCCTTTGCCATGACTCTCATGACACTGTAAATAAATAAAAGCTGATCATTGAAAGCACCTCTATTAGTGGTAAATGGTTTGTCTCAATCCACCTGCTATATCTGCAGGACTTCTTGTTCTGTTGAAAAACAACAGACTTATTGGCAAGATCTCCAGGTGAAAATAAAAAAAAGAAAGCCTAAAAAACAAAACTAATGCAACTACAAAATAGAAAATGTTTGCCTTTGGGTTTAATACCACTTTAGGGGAAACAGAGAGTTAGAATAAGTCCACACAAATGAAAAACGTTTTTTCCAAGATCAGTCAGCGGAGGGTTAACTACTACCATTTTATGTAATTTATAGATATCTCTCCAATCTGTTTGACATTTTGGAACTAAAGAACTAAAAGTAATCAAACCAACTTACGCATACACCTAATTTCCTGGTTCTGAAAAGCTTATTTAATCCAAAATGACTGGTAACATTGAAATATGGGGTAACTTTAAAAATCAAAACACCATAAAATGTAGCATTTTCTTAAAGGTATATGTAGCTCTCAGCCCCAAAGAAGTTAATGTTTCTTGAGTCCCCTGTTCCTGTGCCTATGACTCTGCAAATAGCATCACATCAGCATCAGCAGCTGGGTAAGGAATTTACTTCAGATGTATATACAGTACCTTGGTAGAAAAAGAGATATGAACAACAGTAATGATACAGCAAATAATTAAACAACAGCATAAAATACTGTATACTGCAAATAGATGAACAATAGTGAGACATACAGTATACTATAAGAACAAACAACTGGCGTAGAGAGCAACCCCTCCTAAACCCTATACAGGGGCAATCCTAACTAATGAGAGTTACGCCAACAGTTCAGCAGTCTGTAATATACCCTCTCTCTCTTCTGCTGGCCAGTTCATTGGGGCCCAACTTTAAGTAGTGATAAAGGCACTAGCTCTGTGATACCTGCAGGCAACACTATTAACCTTTTGTCAAGATGTTCTGGAGTCTGGCTAGTGGCATCTCATCAACTCCTATGGCTGCAAGTAGTTTCCCTCTGTTTACTGTGTGCAGCACAATCAGTAAGTATCTGCGGTGTTCTTTTTCTTGATCAGACAGTGGGATCTGTGGTGCTTTTCTGAGTTCCAGGATGTCTGGCACTGCTCCTCTCCCCCTCTCAGATGCATTGGTGAACAGTCTACTGGCAGTTTGAAGCACACTCAGCCCCTCTGAACATCCTTTGCAATCTCCTTCTTTGCAGTCTGGGAACAACACCACTCCTCCAATTTCTCTGCTCAGAGCTCCAATACATATGGGACCTGTAGTTTCTTTCCTCAGTTTACCAAGCCAGCTCAATCTGTAAAGAACTTCACTTCCCATAATACCTCATACTTTAAGAAATACTGTAAAATACCGCTTAGTGTTTTTCAAAATGTTTTTTGGCATTCACAAAAAAAATGCTCCTAAAATACCACATGCATTTATTTTCCGAAAAATGCAGTATTTATCTCATGAAAACATGCAGTATTGTACCTCATGCGATATCCAGTGGGGTGGATACAGTGGGAAAGGATTAGAGTCCCTGTCAATTTTTATTGCTAAGAAATAAATGAAATGGTGTAAACCGTAGACATATCCCAACTCACTAAGTCAGTGCGGTCCCTACAGCAGATGTAGAAAAGTGGTTGTAAACGCTCAAGGTTTTTTGCCTTTATACATTCTATGGTAAGGTAAAAAAACCTTCTGTGTGCAGCGCCCCCCCCCCCCCCAGCATCCCCCCAATACTTACCTGAGTCCCCTCTGATCCAGAGATGTTCACAATAGCCTTGGCTGTATGGGGACTCCTCATTGGCTGAGCCCATTGGCTCACATTGCTGTCAATCACAACCAGTGAGCCAACCAAGCAGTGGCTCAGTAGCAGTGCCCCCAGGGCAAGCAGCTTTTTCTGGGGGTACTGCTCGAGGGGGAGGAGCCGGGAGTGCCACCTGGAAACCTGAAAAGAAGAGGATCGGGGCAGCTGTGTGCAAAACTACTGCACAGAGCAGGTACGCATGACATGATAAGAAAAAAAGTTGACTATAATATCAGAATACCAGTCAAAAGGAAGCTGCTTTCACAGGACACATGTGGCTGTTTTTTTCCCTTGCATGTGATTGGGTATTCTTTGTAAAATGAAGCATTACCTCACTTACTAAGCTCTGGAGCAACTTGCAATGTCCACAGTCTATTTGCTCTAAAGTAGAACTACAGGCAAACTTTTTATTCATTTAGGATTAGGGAAAGTTATAACCCGTGTAATGGTTTTTTTTTTTGCCATCTGTGTCCCAATGGGATATTCACCTTCACTTCCTGTCCTATAGTCAAAACTGGAAGTGAAAGGAAATCCCTACAAATTAATGAAATTCCTTGGAGCCCCCCCCTATATCACCAGAACCAGGGTTCCTATTGGATGGTTTTCCCTCTATTACTTTTCTGGGGACAACCCAAAATTTGGGATTTATTTTTACGTTCACTTTTAATGATAGTGTTTAAACAGGACAAATAGGGTGATTCTCACAGACAAGAATAAAAACCTGACAGGTGTTCTAATTCACCTCCATTCTGTCCAAAACTAAAAAAATATTTTCCTTTAGTTATACCTTTAAGTAAATTAACCCCACCATATTTCCATATTTAGGTTTCTATGTATTATTGTTGAAAGAACTGATCCAAAAAGGCAGAGACTACACAAAATTGGCTATTATATATATATTTTTCATTTTTTTTTAATCAGAAATATTAGTTATTAATGTTTAAGGCATACAAAGAACAGAATATATTACCATATATAAAACAGTAAGGAAGAACCATCCATTAACAAAAAGAACAAAAGTAAGAAAAGAAAATTTCCAGTGTTACCAGTTGTCCAATGAACAAATAAATAAAACAAAATTGTGGCGTTATTATGCAGTAAAGGTATATGTGGAACCCCACACACACAGGGCAGCAGAGGTTCCTCTCCAGCAGTGGACCAGTGGAAAATAGAGCCTATAGATCTCCCTACTTGATAATCCAGGTGAACCTGGGCAGGTTGTAAAAAAGCAGCAGGCAGAATACATCATGAAAGGATAATTACAACAGCCTAGACATTATCAAATCAAATGGGGCTATACCCGGAATGGCCAACCATGCTTCCCAAAGTTTCTCAAATTTACCTGGGCACCCACGATGTTGGTAAATTAAACAATTGTATCATAAGATGGTTCCCATATTCTGTTTCCAATCCTCCATAGTGGGAGGAGTTTCCAATTTCCAACGCACAAGAATGGTATTGTGCGCCTGGAACAGGGCCTTGGAGAGGGCTTCTAGTAGAAATGTATCTTGGGTAACATTGTCTAAAATACCCAAAAGGCATTGTGTAGGGTCTAGAATTAGGTTAGTTTGAAACACTAAATTAAGAGTGTTGACCACTTCCTCCCAAATAGCTATTACGTTTCGGACACTGCCATAGCATGTGAATAAGATCCCCATGGTCCCGCTTACATCTGCCACCAAGAGGGTCCTAGCATAGCCCCATCGTACACATTTTAGCTGGTGTATAATGAGCCCTAAGTACAATATATAATTGTGATATACGGTGAGAAACTGAAAACGAGCTAAGATGGATAGATTGCAGTGCAGCTTCTCACTGGTCTTCCTCAAAAGCCCCCACATCTCGCTCCTACTGCCCACTAGCCCTATTTGGGTATTTATCTAAATATTCTGTCAGAAGCGTGGTATAGCAGTGAGAAATAAGCCCTTTAGTAGTTGTAACTGAGTGCAAATAATTGAAAATAGAGGTGGGGGAGGAGTGCCATAAGGCTGATGGGTTTTGAGCGGTGACTGCATGTTTTAACTGTAAGTAATAAAATAACATTGGTAAATTATACCTGGGCTGCAATGTATCAAATGATATGAGTTGACCATTGTCGAATATATGCTTCAAATGAGTTATCCCATTGGATTTCCACTTAAAGGCATATTGTAGCTTGGCTAGTTCTGGTAATGCCACATTATTCCGTATGGGACTATATGTGGGGTGACCTGTAACCTGCTGCAGTTGCTTGACCTTGACCGAAATTTTATGTATTAGTCAATAGGTAGGGAAGAACTTATTTGGTTTGCAAAAAGATTGAGCCTCAAGACCTTCCGGTAATGAGCTAGAGGCCGTACAATGTAACATCACTTGTAGCGTATAATCATCAGCCATAGCAAAGGTGGTGTCTCTTTCAGCCATACTTTTATACAGATGTTGCACCTGG